CATCAATCTAAACATAGGATAAAAGAAAATGTGACGAGTCACAGAACTAATTCAAATGAAAACACACGCTGACCCCAGATTGGTGTTGATTAGTAAGAGCAGCAAATTTATCTCTGCCGTTAAATAGGATTTAGCCCTCATCTTAAATCCTACTTCTGGGCTACAAATCATTATGTATGCATTACAATTGCAGGAAAACAAAATGCCAATACCACAAAACAATATAATACATGCATTTTTAAACAAGAATTAGAATATGAATATCAGAGTACGAGTTCAGGCACAGCTTGGTGTATGAACAAAACGAAGAAGATGATGGAGGGTACCATACAGCTTCCAGTAATCAAACCCATACTACTTGAGAACCTGCAGTTCATCAAAAAGAACCCACCAAGGACCAATCATCCATCTTCTATGTATGTGCCTAGCTTTGTGAATTTACACTGATATACCTAACAAGGTACTCCATTGACTTATAGGCCTAGTTCATCAAGATGACGGTCCATGATCAGTGCCACAGCTTTAAGAAATGCATTTTTGCTTGTTCTTGGATGAACAGTTTCTTCTGCTTCTCGAACAATCTGCTCAATAACAGACTCCTTGTTCAATGTTTCCCTGCACATGATACTTCCTATAGCAAAGGGTGTGAGCCCCCTTTCTGCACCTTTCTTCAAAAGCATGGTGGAAATGCGAAGGGTGCGGGCACAGGCAGGTGGTATGTCCCAACCATGTAACTTCAACAGTTCAATGTCTTGTTCAGCATCCAGTGACTTGATGTACTCTATAATGGCGGGGGAATAAGATTCCTGAGCTTGAGGCCAGTACAGCCATTCAAATGTGCAATCTTCAAACTGCAGTGAAAGGGAGAAATGAAATATGAGAAGGAAATAAACAATAACGGGGTATGAGCTAAGGTCTTGCACCTCGAGTTCATATGGGAGAATAAATCCTCATTTAAGAAGATATTAGATATCAGAATTCGAAATGAAACCTTATTATTGGGAGAATTTTCAATTGTTAGATTACGCGAAATTTGGACAGCTAAGTACTGAACTAGAGAGCCTGGGGAGGATGAGATGAAGGCTATGATGTGAAATCAATGACCAGATGTCTTATTATCTAATATGCATCAAATCAAAAACACCGTTAAACCAAACTATAAGCTCTTAATTAAATTTTATCCCTAAAACTGAATGTTGCAAATATGCAAAAAGAAAAGACCTACTTTCAAGAAGCAAAACACATTAGGACACAATTAACAATGTAACATTAGAAGAATCTATTTTCTTGAACATCCCAATAAACATGGAACGCAAATTGACCAATCAGAAGAGGAAATAATTCAATTGAATCAAAATTCTAATAAAATCATATCTAGAAAAGACTAGAGACTAAAGAGACAGAAGAAGGAAAGCAATGCTCTTACATTCTCGGGCAAGCAATAGCCATGATCAATTGGAACAAGCACGATTTGACCTTGTCCATTTTCCCTTGTAACTAGAATGTTCCCTGCATGCCTATCAGCATTTGCCAATCTTATGTCCAACACTGAGATCTTGTGCACCTCATCCAATGGAAAAGCACGAGGTCCCATGTTTTCACAGCTTCCAATATTTTCCACAAACATCTGTAGTGACCCAATTTTCACATTTCTATGAGCATACTGATAACCATCTCGATAACTAAATGCTTTGTGCAAGCACTTCACCATCATAGTGGGAGGAACACCAGAAAAGCCCTTCTCTCCATTATATAATGAACGTGCTCCAGCCATTGGGTGATCCAAAAGGTAAGCTGCAACTTCCCTAAATGCTCCTTCTCCCACGCGTGTGCCTTTCTTTAGTCCCTCACCATATTCTGACAAAGGTAGCCCTTGTGGGTTATTTACAGCCATAGGCTCCTCGTCAATGGGCTTAAAAACAGAAACATACTTTTGACCAGATGAATCTTGCATGAAATATACACCACCACATCCCTCTGATGACTGAATTGGCTGATTGCCACTTTCTAATCCATCAAAAGTCAAGTCAATTAGTTTGTTCAAAACAAATGGGAGTCCAATCTTAGAATTTACAATCAGAGGCTTTAAAATGAAATCTTTGTGGCTCCGCAACAGTTTGCTCTGTAAGACCTGCAACTCCTTAGATGGTTTTGCCTTCTCGAAATTCTTATCATTCAAATTCAATGCCTCAACAGTCACTTGAAAATCCTTTTCTATAGGTGTAGCCCTTACTTTAGCAGATCTTGTTTGAACCAGCAAGTGAATCACGACACCTTCACTCTTGGAGATATCATTGATTAGTCTTTGATCTTCAAGCTCCTCACCGTCACATATCAGTTGTTGGTCCTCAAGATCAACAAACCCTTTTTCCTTCTTAGCAAGTTTCTGCTTAACATATCCCACATTTCTACCTCTCTCAACATGAAATGTAAACACCTTCCCACCAACAGTCTTCACAGTAATGACTTGAAGATCAGAAAGCCTTACAATCAAATGCAATATGTCCCCCTCTGCAACCCCGTAGTCTCGGAGTCGAGAATTGTTTCGAGACAATTCCCTTCCTTCAAAAACCAGCTTCTGCTTCTTCCTAAAAAATCCAATAGAATTTTGAATCCTCATCTTCACTGAAGCAATTGAATCTGATTCCATTATATGTATCGGTATCACAGAGCCCCCAACAGAGAGAAAAACCAAGATGGAGTCAGTAAAAGCCAGACCATATCGACAGGTGATATTACCAGGTAAACTTAGAGACCCTTCAACCACTGGAGTTAGCTGTACACTACAAACAGACATTGTTATAGACTTTGAACTTGCTTAACCAAATTCAACCTCCCTGCAATTAACCAATTTCTTTTAACCAAATTCAACCACTGGCCCTCACAACAATCTCGAATTCAAGCTCCCTGCAATTATCCAAATTCTTTCGATCAAACATTCCAAAATGCATTCTTACTTTTCATTTCTAGTAAAAAGAAGGAAAGAATAAGCAATCCAACCCGTTCTGCTACAAGCTAAAATCCCAAATTCCTAATTCCTAAATCTCACAACGAATAAAATAAAATAAACTAAACTAAATTCTGCGTCTGCCAAATAAACAAAAAAAACATTAATTTGTTTATGTAATTTGACTCGACTAAGCCAAAATGATGAAATCAAAATTGGTTAATAATAATAATAATACTACTACGGTAGCTTCCGATCAATTTAAGAGAAAAAAAATCTAAATAAAGAAGAAAAAAAATAAAAGAATCATAAAATCTGAAAAATGTGAATAAACTGATACAAATCACTAAGAGTTGAATTAAAATTTTCCCATTGTTTCTCTCAGTAACCAAACACTTAGTGATAAGCAATGCAGAATCTTCCGCAACTAAATTTATAGTGCAAAGTACAAATCATACCCGAAGAAGCTAAAACCGACGACGAATTTCAGCGGAATGATGATGAAAGTGAAGAGAAATGCGAGAGAAATCACATCATTTTTTCTCTCTCCCTGAGCTTTAGGTTTTTTTCATGAGGTTTCCGAGAAAATCCGAGTTATTTTCCAGGCTTTTTACCGAAGAGACATTAGATTGTTTTTGTTTCGGCAGAGGGAAAATGACAGGGAAAAAATGAAACAAGTACGGGCTATTTATAGTACCGTACTAGTCGGATCTGGCTGAATTTGGACGGAATTTTAGGGGTTCAAGTTTTTTAACGCCGTCAGTTACGTTAACTGGCGTTTGTATCTTGCTTGTTAAGAAAATTGTAATTAGTAATGGATAATTGAATTAGTGGGATTT